TATTCAATTGGCCGAAAAACGCTTGAGGGGATTTAGAGCGTTTTTAACAAACAAGTTTCTAAAAGATTCTGAAGGAAACTTTGTTGACTCGGAGCGTCCAATGAAGTACGCGGATTTGATTTCGGAGGAAGAATGGGAGACGTTTGTTGCAAAGCGAAGAACAAAAGAATTTGAAGTAAGTACAACTTATCATGAACTATGTATAGTATATATACTTCTTCCACAAGAGTTCTGATAAACTTATTTTTTCAGGTTGTTAGTGGCGTAAATCGTCAACGGGCATCAAATCCCGCATATCCATACAGAAAGGGTCGTTTGGGATATGCACGATTAGAACAAAAAATAGTAAGTACATATAAATGCTTTAATATGATATATTTACAAAAAATAGTAAGTATATATAATAGGATATAATGCTTTATTATCCGTCTTAATGCGTAGTTGGAAGAGGAGAAGAGTGATGCGACATCTCTTTCGGACCATGTTGTATGGAAGGCTGCCCGTGTGGGATGAGATGGAGTCGTTCAGGAAGAAGTTCAACAAGTCTTTGAACAATGTGTAAGTACAATGTTATCTTTGTCAGTAACTGATCAAAAGTGTATAATATATTTATATATGTTTTTATCTATATTTCAAGAGACTCTATCCCAGACCATAACTCCCGCTGAGGACGATGATTGCAGGAGCTTAGTGAGCCGGGTGCTGAATATTCCTGAGTATTCTGGGCGTGTGAGGGGTAAGGGATTTGGTGTCACTCCATCCAAACTGTATAAGCAGCCAAAGAAAAAAAATCCAACCAATAAAGAAGTGATGGATACTTTGGAGGAATTGAAAGCGCAAATCCGTGAATTACAGAAGGATAAGGAGAGATACATATCGGAAAGACGCGCTCCAGAGGGTAAAGCTACTAGTGACAAAGATAGTATCGGTTGTCCGCAGAAGCTTCTAGAGGTAATTGTATATATTACATTGAAATTAATTTAGCACAGTTTACTTAATTGGCACATTAACTGATCATTATTTGTTTAGGGCATTTCACTTTGCCGGCTATATTTATCGTCACCTACTCATCGAATGGTTGGCAAGGGAAAGGTGCATAACTTTCTGGGAGACTTACTTCATCATAAACCGCTCCCTTCTGGATTTTTAAAAGTATCTATTGATATTGCATTAGAGGGGAATGCGTTGTTGCCTATACCAAATGATATTTCAGGCGCAACAGTGGTGGGAGATGCAATAGGAGCGTATGTGGCATGGCCGGCAAATCTCATTTGCATAGATGATGAGGTAGGTTGAACCTTTTAATACTCAAATGTTTTATGATCCATACATGAAGGTTATTCTTACATCTACATTTTCTTATTTACATGATGATCTTAGACTCCTACAAAATCCAAATCAAAAGATGATAGAATTATTGTGCGGGATACCGATTCAGCTGCATCAAAGAAACATGTACTACTACAGTTACATGATTATCTTGTTATACATTAATTACTGAACTTATATATGACTTTTAGGTTCATGATCAGCAGTCGCAACAAGTCAGCAAGGGTAAGATGCCTGAAACTTCCAAGGTGCCCAGAAAAGCATTTGTTCCTCGATTTAGGATGTGCCTTGAAACATATGTGGGAACATCAGATGTGCCTGAGGGTGGCATCCGTCAAATACATATGGAGGCAGGTATTTTCGGTTTTGAATATCCCGAAACAATTGCTAAGGAGGATTTTGATCAGGTTTTCAACCATTCTGAATTGGGCGTCGGTGTTATGCATTCATACATCAAGTACTTCGATCCATTTTAATTAAATAATTGAACATTTTAACATTTGCTCGTTTAACTGAATATTCTAATGTTGATTATGTTTTTTTAGGTTCTTGTATGACAAGTTATTGGTCCCGAATGAATTGACTTCAGTATTCGCATTCTTATCTGCTAGCTGTGTCAACTCACGGATAATAGACCAGACACCAGATACAGTCAAAGAGTACACAGTGCAGAGATTTATGCGCGCGACTACAAAGAAGTTGTTCTTGTTGCCATATAATACTGGCCATGGGTTAGATTTTATTCTAAATTCATTTATTATAATTGTTCGATTTTTCCCTTTCTATATAACATTTCCGTCTAAACTGTTGTCTTATTTTATAGTGGACATTGGTTGTTGATCGCGATTAATCCGAGGAAAGAAATAGTGTATTATATAGATTCATTGGATGGCGATACAACAGAATATGAAAATCTGAGGAACATGGTTGATACGTAAGTGATGAGATGTACTGTTGTCTTTAATTATATATCTTTATTTATTATGTGACATTATTCTAAATATGTGTTTATATTATGTTAGAGTTATACAAATATGCAGAGCACAAAGAGATGCAACGGTGCCAAAAAGTAAGGCTAACAACATCAACTGGATCAGAGTGGAGGTATATTTTCGCATGTTTGATTGTTATAGTGGTTCTACTTGATAAAACTATTTAAACTATATATCCTGATAAATGTTCGTTTGTTTTTTCCATTTACAGTGTCCTCGGCGGCGCAAATGTATTGACTGTGGATATTTTGTATTGCGCTTTATGAGGGAAATTATTCTTTCTGGTCAACTTGAGATTCCAGTCATGGTATGGATCAATTCATTATATAAGTTATATGATTCATTTTGATAATTATCCGATACTTCATCTGAGTAATTAGTTTTAAAATTAAATCTTGCATGTTCTGTTATATTATGTAGTATTTTGATGAATTCAAGTGCACTACTTACACGAAAGCAAAATTGGAAGAAATTAAAGAGGAATGGTGTCAATTTATTCTTGGGTTGAGAATTGTATACATTATCGGATTGGAAGAATTGTAATTATATGTAAATTGAATGTATTTGTGATGTTGTAATTCTGAGGATCGAATTTTGTTGTAACATATTTAAGCAGGTTTATGTGTATTAAAATATTTATGAACAAAGTGATGAGTTACAATGTATCAAAAGTTTTGAATTGTATATATAAGGTCAAAGTTTTGAATTGTATATTTAAGGCCAAAGTTTTGAATTGTATATATAAGGCCAAAGTGTTGAAATAAATGTCTGAATTATAAGCAGGTTTGTGTAATATAAGCATGTTGTTGGTAAATATACAAAACAGGGTGAATATTTAAAAAAAATAATTTAAAATCTGGGACATTAGACAGCGCTTTTACAAAAAAGCGCTGCTAAAGGTCACAAACATTGCCCTACAAAAGCGCTGCTATAGGTTTGAAAGGGGGGGGGGGGTCTACGACAGCGCTGCTAAAGGGGGGGCTATGACAGTGCTTTGTAAAAGCGCTGCTAAAGGTGGGCTCTAAGACAGCGCTGCTAAAGGAGGGGATGGTTGGGGGGAATATGCAGCGCTTATGAAAGCGCTACTAAAGGGCTATAAAAGCGCTGCTAAAAGTGCTGCTGAAGGGAGCCTTTAGCAGCGCTTTTTCCATAAAAAAAGCGCTGCTTTTACCTTTAGCAGCGCCACTTTTGGCAGCGCTTTAAAGGGCTACTAAAGGTCTTTTTTGGCATAGTGATTGTCGTGTTGCAATATCTTTTAGTTAAGTGATTGGGGCAATGCAAAATGTAGAAAAGTAGTCATGGAAAAATTAAATCATCTCTATCACCTATGTCATATATAGTGGTGATAATTTTGAGAGATATTTCAAGTTTTCATACTATGATTTTTTTTTGTTTATTGTTTTTAAAGATCAATAGTTGTTGTAATTTTTTAGATTTTATCAATATATTAAAAATAAAAACTTAATCTCCTTTAATTTTCATTTAATTTTTAAATTTTAATTAAAATTTATCCTCAAAATTAATTTTTTTTTTAAATGACAAACAAAGTTATAATATTTACTAAGAGCAACAAAAATCTTCAGAGATACACAAGGAGAATCGAGATAAGTACAAGTAATACCAAACAAACGAGCAGTGACGGATCCAGAAATTTTAATTAATGGGGTCAAGATTTATGGAATATGTATCTAAATTGATTTATAATTAGATTAAAAAAAACCTTCATAAATACAATTTACTTGTGTCTTTTTAATTTCCATTTTCTTTTTAAAAAATAATAAAATAAAATTAATAATCAGATTTATGGTTTCTAGAATTCAAATTAAATGAATAGTATCGAGACAATGATACATTTAATGTGGGGTCAATATTCCAAAATTAATTATTATTGGTTTTAAAACAAAAAATTAAGTGGGGTCACTTGACCCCATTCTACACCAAGTGGATCCGTCCATGCAAACGAGAAAAACAACACCTATAACATAATAAATTCAAAAAATACAAAAAAGTAGTTGAATCTTAGACAAACAAAAACAAAACAGCTAACCAAAACGAAAGTACAAACAAAACATCACTCCATTGAGAGATAAAAGTTAAATCTCATCCGACATCACTTCATTGAGATGTAAAGTTAAATCTCATCACTCCATTCACATAAGCGATCCCTTTAGAAAAACCATCAAGATTTTTCCATCGCAATGTAAAAAACACTCAATCCGATATAGACTCAGAGACAATATAATATTCTCAAACCATACACAAAAAGTACAAGAGTTTTTCACTGCCCTACCAAAATACCATTTTCAAACTTAAAAAATGTTATTATTTTCTACATCTTTACATTAGCATAGAAACTGCTATTCTCAATTATAGAAAAACGACACTTATTCTATAACTACCTTACCACTCTAAACACGAGAAAAAGAGTACCCCCAGTAACTTAAAGTCTTATACTAAACAAACGTTGATAAATAGTATTTGAATTTATAATGGAGTTTGCTTTTTCAAAGAAATGATAAATTTTTTAATTAAGTTGAATAATCGTGCTATTTTTTTTATTGTAACCCATGGGTCCTACCAGTTTCACATTCTTCTACTATAAATAGTACTAATTGGAGGAACCTATGACACACATCTAGTTAAGCATTTTGCTTCTCAATTTGAAATTCAGTGGCAAATATGGTCACTTTGAGGATATTACTTCTTTTTCTTCTTACAAGCATTCAAATTTATCATGCATATTCCAATGATCGCAAGGCAAATATATAGATAATTGATTTTATTAGGATTTTATGCTGTCTAATTCATATTTTACATAATTGATTTGTAAAGTACAGAATAAAAGTCTTTATAAATTTTAATCAATTTTTAGTTTTATATTACTTGAAATTTATTAATCATTTCTTTTTTCTTTCTGAATACAGACTTATATTGTCTACATGGGTGATCATCCCAAGGGCATTGATCCAGCCACTTTACCTTCTCTTCATTCTACAATGGCTCAAAATGTCCTTCGCAGGTTCAAATTATTATTAATGTTTGAATTAAATTCAATACTAGCAAATAACTTCAACAAATAATATTATCAAAATTTGGATATATCCAGTGATTTTGAACCAGGAGCTGTACTTCATAGCTACAAGAAGAGCTTTAATGGATTCGTTGTAAAATTGACCGAAGATGAAGCAGAAACATTGGCCGGTAGAGTCAATTAAATTTTATAATTATGTTAATTTCATATATAATAAATAAATTAAACTCCTTTTTAACACTTGTCCATATTGCAATAGAAATGGAGAATGTGGTGTCAGTTTTTCCAAACACAAAGCTTTATCCTAGCACCACAAAATCGTGGGACTTCATAGGCCTCCCACAAAATATCAAAAGACTGAGTTTGGAGAGTGACATAATTGTTGGAGTATTAGACTCTGGAATTTGGCCCAAGTCAAAGAGCTTTAGTGATGAAGGATTTGGTCCACCACCAAAAAAATGGAAGGGATCATGCCACAACTTCACTTGCAACAAGTATTTAATCACTCAGTTTTCGTTATTTTTTGTTTTCACTTAAAATATTATGATACTATAAGATAATGATGATGATACACATTTTGTGTAGCAAAATAATTGGTGCACAATACTTTAATATCAAAGATTCCTATACCAAAAAAGACATCAAAGATCCAACAGATGTAAATGGTCATGGGACACATTGTGCATCCACGGTTGCTGGAAACGTGGTTAATCCTGTGAGCCTACAAGGCTATGCGTCAGGAACCGCGCGTGGAGGAGTTCCCTCAGCACGCATTGCTGTGTACAAAGTATGTTGGGAAACAGGTTGTGATGACGCTGGTATCTTGGCAGCATTTGATGAGGCAATCGCGGATGGAGTTGATGTTATATCTGTTTCTATTGGATCAAATCAAGTTGTAGTAGTTCCATATTTTCAACATTCAATCGACATTGGAAGTTTCCATGCAATGAAAAGAGGCATATTTACGTCGAATTCTGCTAATAATCTTGGCCCAAATCTCTTCACCATGACAAATTTTGCACCTTGGTTACTTTCTGTTGCTGCTAGCACTTTTGGAAGAAAGTTCGTTACAAATGTGCAATTGGGAAATGGCGCCATTTACGAGGTAAGTTAATTTGATTTGTACTAGTTAGTGTGAAATGTTTTAATTTATAATAAATGTGATCATGTCATAGTTCTTAATTTGCAGCATAATTTTAGTTCCTAAGACATTTTTAAATTCTTACCTAATCTTTTAAATCCAATATATCCTGGAAAATTGATGTCAGGGATCCACGATTAACACATTTGATCTCAAAAACAAAATGTTTCCATTAATTTTCGCTGGAGATATACCCAATACTGCCGGTGGATTCAACAGTTCTGTATCTAGGTATTGTTGATATATATATTCTAATGTTGTTTTCTTTGTTTGTTTTTTATTTTCTAAGGATTTTAAATTTATGAATTTTATTGTTTAGTTTTTGTGTCAAGGATTCAGTTGATAAAGATGCAGTAAAGGGAAAGATAGTTTTATGCGGAGGCATACAGATTCCTACGGATGTCGGGTTTTTCTCGGGTGCTGCTGGTGTAATATTTGGATATGTTTCTGCAAAAGATTTGCCAAATACATATGCTTTACCAGCCACATTCCTTAGTCTATCGAACCTAATAGAAATACAACATTACATGAAATCAACAAGGTACAGATTAAAATCTTTTTTTCGAAGAAACATATATCCAGTAATCAAATTGACAAGAAAAATATATTTGACAAGACCTTGCAAAGTTAATTAGTCAAACACTTGAGAAACAAATATATTACAAAATCCAACTAGATTGACTGAAGTCTTTTTAATTTTCAATCATTCTACCAATTAATAGAAATCCCACTGCCACAATATTTAAGAGTGAAGAAGTCGAAGATTTGTTGTCCCCATATGTAGCTTCATTTTCATCAAGAGGTCCAAATCCAATTACTCCAAATATTCTCAAGGTAACACAAAATTAAGGTTATATAGAAAGTAAATCATGTCAATGTTTTGATCTTCAACATTAAAATTACTTACTGGCTACATTTATTTCATGATGTTCTAGCCTGACATCGCTGCCCCAGGAGTTAACGTTATAGCTGCATGGACTCCGCTTAACCCAATTTCAGAATTTGAAGATGACAAAAGAAGATTACCATATAATATTATTTCTGGGACATCAATGGCATGCCCTCATGCAGCTGCAGTAGCTGCCTATGTTAAATCATTTCATCCGAATTGGTCTCCAGCTATGATCAAGTCTGCAATCATGACTACTGGTAATGGCTATTGACTCTCTCACACACTCATATATATCTATAATTATATCATTTTAAATTAAATGACAAATCATTAATGTGTAATAATAGAGAATTATACTCTCTTTACCCATGGATAATCATTAACCACAGTATAATTCTTTAAAATGTGAAACAACAGAAAATGAATAGAAAAGTTTAAGTTGAAACAATTTAGCGGTGGATTAACCAAACTGTCCCGTTTTTACAACTTACTAGTTTAGTTTAAAAAATATTACAAATGAATGCCCTGAGTTCAAGTTCATGTTTCCACACTTCCCGTTCGAAGTATGTGTTTATTTGAGTATGTATATGCCACTGGGCCTATAACAAAATTAAAAATACTAAAACTAATTAATTTGAGAAAGAAGTTTTCATTTTCCTCTAACTTCATAAACTAGATTGTTATTTAAATTGTTTTATGCTTTACTCTTATCTCGTTGTTTGAATACCAAATTAACAGCAACTCAAATGAGCTCTGATATAAATGCTGAAGCTGAATTTGCATATGGTGCGGGGCTTATTAATCCTGTCAAGGCCAAAAATCCAGGTTTAGTATATGATATTAGTGAAGCGGATTATGTTGAGTTTTTTTGCGGAGAAGGATATGCATCAAAACAACTACAAAGTCTTACTCAAGATAAGAGTAAGTGCAAGGGAAAAGATAATGAGAAGGCTGTATACAACTTGAATCTGCCATCATTTGCACTTAATGTAAACGGAACATTTCTAGAACATGTTTACCATAGAACGGTAACAAATGTGGGATCAGCAAAATCTAGTTATAAAGCAAGAGTAATATCATCACCTTTGTTGGAAATTCAAGTGAAACCCGATGTTCTGTCTTTCACATCTATAGGACAGAAAAAATCATTCTCGCTCACAATTGAAGGGAATATTAATGTGGAAGTAATATCAGCTTCTTTGATTTGGGATGATGGCAATCATCAAGTTAGAAGCCCTATTGTTGTGTATCGGAACCAAGCATGAGTTATCTCATGGGTGCTAAGTGTGATAAATCTATGAGCCTAGTTGTGTGTGAAGCATTATAAATAAATAAAGTTATCACACTAGGTTCCTTTATAAGTTAGAATGATATGTAACTCGCTTGAATTTACTATTTTTTGGTGTGCATGTTTTGAATAAATTAAAATAAATAAATAAAACTTTAACTTATCTTGTTTTTTATTGTTGGAAATTTAATGACAATCATTAATGTTTGAACAATTTGTCATTGGAATTGTCAAAATTCTATTATGCCGTAGAAAGAAAAAAAATGATTTTTTTTAAAATAACCATGTTGTTTAAATAAATTACCAAACAAAAACATAATTTAAAAAAATTACAAAAGTGACTAACATTCAACGTGGAATCGCCATATGAAATGATTGAACCAAAGTCACTTGACCTAAATCGCCATTTCATATGGTGTGTGGGCAGGGACTGATTCAAAAATTTTAATTGATGAGGTCAATGTTAATTTTTTTAATACAAAAATAAAAATCAAATAATATAAATATTTATAAAAAAATATAAATACTTATGCATAAAATGATGATGATAATATATATCTTAAAAGTTAAATATTACAAAACAAAGCACAAATATATATATATATATATATATATATATATATATATATATATATATATATATATATATATATATATATATATATATATATATATATATATATATATATATATATATATATAATGAAGACAACATAATATTCAAAGATTGTAATTGCTCTCTACGTGTCTTCATATTTTGAAAGTGTTGTAAGATTTTTTCATTTTCAACACTATCAAATATATCACTCTCTATGTATGTTACCAAACAATCATTCAAAAATTCATCACCCATACGGTTGCGCAGTTGATTCTTCACAAAATTCATAGCTGAGAAACTTCTTTCAACGGTTGCTGTAGCCACAGGAAAAAGTAATGCTAACTTAAAAAGTAAGTACACCATTGGATAAGCAATGTGTTTTTTAGTCTCCACCATCATTCTTGAAAGATCACTAATTCCCTGTAAATTAGAAAATTGCTCACTAGAACAAACACTCATGATGTATTTTTCAAGTTGATTGTCGAGTCCCATAAGCTCTACCAAAAAAAAATCGAATCAGATTAATCAACTTTTCCTTGTCAAATTCAAAAAATGAATCTCGTGGACTTAAACTTGCTACACAAATAAGCAATTCACTATTCACCTCGATAAATCTATTGTTCAATTCTTGAAGTTGTCTATCAATCACTTGATAAAAGACCTCAACTTGAAAGTGATGCAAGTTTGAAACTTTTTCAACTTTACGACTTGGTTTTCCGTGTAACATGAAGACATCATCCATATTTATAATGTCAATATTATGCTTCTCACAGAGTAATGACACTTCATCGAGTAGATTTGACCAACCATCTTCTCTCATATTTTGGAATCTTTTCTTCGATACTTTTACAAATGTCATAGCATTTACAATATCTTGATCTTTTCTTCGCAGTGCTTGAGATATATCATTAGTAATTCTCAATATATTTCTCATCAAAAGCAATTTAAAAATAAATTAAAAGGATTGTAAAGTATTCAATAATTGACGAGTTTCAACTTGTTGCTCTGCGCTAAGGCTATCTTTTAAAATCATATCTAGCACATTACACATAGAAGGAAACAAAGAAACCAACCTTAGTAATGTATCATAATGTGATTCCCATCTAGTATCTCCAGCTCTTGTTAGCGTAGTTTCTTGATTCAAGTCACGACCAGTTAAATTTTCTCCACTCTCTAATGCTTCCATTACTTTAAGAATTTGACTTTCTCTAAGAATATCTCTGCGCTTGCATGAAGCTCCAACAATATTAGATAAATTGTTAACTACAAGAAAAAACCAAGCAATGTCGTCAGGATTTTTAGCAACCGCTACAAGTGTCAACTGAAGTTGGTGAGCAAAATAATGAACATAGAATGCACACTTATTTTCTTTCAATATCAAACTTTTGAGGCCATTAAACTTTCCTTGCATATTACTTGCCCCGTCATATCCTTGTCCACGAACTCTTGAAAAGCTTAAATTTTACTTTTCCAATAAGGACTCCAGTGCTAACTTTAAAGACATAGCACTTGTATTTGCAACATGAATAATACCAAGAAACCTCTCAATGACACATCCTTTCTTGTCTACATAACGTAAAACAACAACCATTTGCTCTTTAACTGAAACATCTCGAGATTCATCAATTAAAATAAAGAACAAATCATTGTTAAGATCATCAATAATAACTTTTGTGGTCTCAGAAGCAGCAACTTCACAATATCTTTTTGAATGCTAGGTGATACTAATTTGAGATTTCCACGAGATTTTTTCAATACTTTATCAATCTCTTCATTATGATTACAGAGAAATTGTAGAATCTCGAAAAAATTACCTTTATTCTTTGAATCCACTGATTCATCATCACTGCGAAATGCTAATCCCAACTTTAATAAAAGTCGAATACAATCAACTATTGCAGTTAAATAAATCTGATATTCCCTTTTGATCAATTTAGATTGTTTATTGATAGCAACTTCAATATGTTGTTTTTGATTCACTAGTGCATTACATTTTCTCCAAGCTTGGTTGTAGCACTATTAGGACCTCCAACATGGACATTAAGTCTATCTTTCTTTTTCCAATTTGAAAATCCCTCAGTCACAAATGCATCCTAACCTTTGTGTTCTCCTATCTCATGTCTCATAAGGTAACAACATAAGCATCTTTTGATACACTATATTCTAACAAACTATCAAATTCAAGAAATAAATCAGGATTGAACTTACGTAAAGACGTACCAAATTGTCGTTGTGGAAAATTATGGTCCTTTGGTTGACAAATGCCCTTTTTGTAAATAAGCTCTTCGGATTTCATCTCGATCATTTGGGTGATAACATGCCATTTGATTCCTTTCTCCAGGATCAACAAGAAGATTATCTAAATCAACATCTAAAAATCTTTTTTTCAAAGATGGTCCTACTTATTGTGGAAATGCATTTTCCACTTCATTAACTTGTTGAGACTCCAATGTTGATTTTCTTTTAAAATATTTTTCCATTTCTAACACATAAAAATTTAACACTAATTAGTTACTTGATTCTAATACAACTACTGAACTGCAACTCTACAAGGATAAAATTAAAACTAAAAACATGATAAAAATTGATACAAAAATATGAAATCACAACATAATAATATAATATACAACAACAACAAAAAGAATGAAGGGAGAAACTTACTTGAATATTGTCTTTTAACTTTACTATGATAAAACAATAAAAACAAATAAGATTTAAAAGTAAGAGATTTATGAAGAAAAAAATAAAGTATGTAGAAGAAAGAAGACAAAAAATAGAGCATGTATGTAAACTGATTTATAATTAGAAGAACCTATACAAATACAATTTACTTGTGTCTTTTTAATTTCCATTTTCTTTTTTTAAAAAAAGTAATAAAATAAATTTAATAGTAAGATTTATGTTTTCTAGAATTCAAATCAAATGAGTGGTACGAGGACAATGATGTATTTAATTTGGGGTCAATATTCCAAAATTAATTATTATTGGTTTTAAAAAGAAAAATCAAGTGTCACTTGACCCTATTCCACTATGGGTGCATCCGTGCCTGCGTGTGGGTACATTTTTAAGACCTACCTTACAGAGGATGCGCCATTTCATTTGGCGACTCCCTTCTGCAGGGTTTTTATTTTTGTTTTTTTATTCTTCTTTTTTCTTTGTTTTTTAGGTTTTAATTTTAGTTTTATAAAATAATTAAAATAATATTTGTAATTTAAATAATGTAAAAAAAATATAAATGGAAGAAATAGTAAAATATAATAATTTATAATATAATAAAAATTACAACTGATAAAAAAAAATTAATGGTCGGCTCTATCTAAACGACCAGCAGTACCATATTGTAGAGGATGCGCACGGCGTTGAGGTCTACCACGAGGTTGTTGAGGTGTATCTGATCTTTGCTTGTTGACCCATGGAAGAGGTATTTGTCCGGATGGTTCCGGCGTATCAGACTAATTTTGAAGCATTTGACCCCAATAGCCAGGAGGGCCACTATCACCGGCGCTTCTGTAATTAAGTTCAATGCCCATGTTTTTGTAGTTTTGTCGGGGAGGTTAGGTGGAGTATGGACGGTATGATTGTCTGAATTCGTACATCGAATCGGTTTGGAAACGATGTATTTGTTGTTGTGGGGTTTGGTATTCAAAAAGTGGATAAGTATTTTATTGGTAGGAAGATTGACTGTATGGTGTGGGTTCAAAAGAGTAATATGGGCTATATGTAGATGGGGTAGGGTCAAAAGATGTATCAGGGCTATATGCAGAAGTGGTGTCGGTTTCAGAACGCTGACGGTATGGGTAAGGCTCTTGTTGTTGTGATTGGGTTGGTGGCATGTATGGGTTACGATTTTGGAAGATTGTTTGGGTGAGTATAGTTGGATGTTGCGTATAACATGGTGTTTGATGTTGAGCATTGGGTTGCAGATGTGGAGTCGAGGAAGACGCACGTTGTCTCGGGTCAATCAAATATGTTGGCTCAGATAGAAATGATTGTGAGGTTGTAACAGACCTTAATCAAATCATATATTGATAACTTGGCCTAAAAAGCAAAGCAAAAAAAATAAAAAATAAAAAACCTACAAAAGGGAGTCGCCATATGAAATGGCGCATCCTCTGTAGGGTAGGTCTAAAAATTGAACCCTTACGCCATATGAAATGGCGACTCAGGTCATGTGACCTTGGTTCAGCCATTTGATATGGTGACTCCACGTTTAATGTTAGCCACTTTTGTAATTTTTTTGAATTATGTTTTTGCTTGGTAATTTGTTTGAACAACATGGTTATTTTTAAAAAATTCAAAAAAAAAACTCTATAAGTCTTTCAATGTTAGATAACTATGTATGATTGTGTTAATGGAGAAAAAATTATTTTCTACAGTGC